TCGTCACATTATCCTCATACCAGTATATCGCATTAAAGTATTTGCTCCATTAGTAGTCAATACATTTTCCTCAAATTACAGAAATTATTACTGTAGAATACTTTATTTTTGCTTAGAATTCATTTTTTTTCCCTATATTTCACATTAAACTCATCAAAAATCAGTGAAAATAAATTCCATACAAAACTCCCAAAAAGCATTTTCAGCTCCCCTGTCCCCCCCCCTCTGGATCCGCCACTGCATGTACACCTCTTCATACATCATACAGTTATAACAGAGCTATGTGTTCATGCATTGTTTTGGTAGAAATTGGTACTAATGCACAGGTTTGATTAGTTTTTGGTAAAAATCTGTACATCTTACTAACCTAATTTGCATAATTATTACTCAATTTTTGTAGTACTAATCACGTTTCGATGAAAATCTGTGCATAATTAGTCAGTTTTCAGCTTTTCCATCAATATCTCAAGTACAATTAATTTTTCATGTGTCTCCATTACTCTCAGCACACAGGGAGTTCTTTCCAGGCTTTGTTTGATTACATTATGTATGTGGGACGTTGCAAATCCGTGCTATTGTTATCACAGTGAAGGTACACAAATGTATGGACTCTTATTTCTTTTCCAGTGAATATGCAAATATAACAAAATTGTTTCCTTCAAAATCTAGTAAATTTATAACTTCATGAATATTCCTGCAAAATCGAATCCACAAAAATTTATCCCAATGAATATTTCTTCCTGTACAGCATAATATTTATTACACTGATCAGAACTTCACAGGACAATTTTCTTGGTCACCAAGCAGTTTACCTTGTGCTACCTTTAGAAAAATAAATATATTCACTATACCATATTTACTCTATTAGTAGTGCAAGTGTTTATGCAAATGAAAAAGATGTCTATGGTTTGAATAAGTCACAATTATGTTGTAGCTAAGCATTTGTTTTTCACTTTACCATTAAAAATACATTAAAATACAATTATAGCAAACAAACTTTGTATGTTCATCTGGAAAATGATATCAAGAGAATGCCAACATAGCCATTGTTAGTTTGTATGCAATGGACAACTGGTAGAAGTTATCATTGAAGTTAAAAATTAACAATAAATTAATGAATTAATGAATAAATAAATAAATAAATAAATAAATAAATACAGATATTATAATTACAACTACTAAACAATGACTATTGCTTAGTGGAGTCTACATGTACTGTAAAATCTGTAATGCAACAGAGGAGATCCGGCATATGACATGAGAAATCGTTAATTTTTGGGGTCTCAATTGTTCAAAAAAAATGGGTGCGGCTTCTACCGGTAATACAGAATTTAATGTGCATGTGGTTTTTCATCAGAAATGTGTTAGGTATAAAACTCAAGAAGTCCAACCCCTACAGAACAACCCTTTAGAAATTTGATAGATACATACATTAATTGGATCTTGTAATTGGTGCAGCAACCTTTTAAAGTATAAATTTCAGTCCTACATAGTAGTAACTCATCTTGGCTTTCTTATCATTAATGTACAATGTACAAGTATTTTGAACCAATTAGTTCAACATCAAACTATCTGTTTGCCTCCTGAGTGGAAAATGATTTCTTTTTAGATACGACAGATACTTGAGATAGATTTCTACACATAATTTTTGAGTTGGTCATAAATCGGATAACAGGGTTCATTGGTTTATTACCCGGAAGTACAATCTTGTAGCTACTGTTCACTAGTTCATATTGTGAGATACAAAGTGAAAAATATAATCAAATACCCAAAACAATTGACAATGAAGCCAAACAAGATGACAACTGAAACTAAGCCATCAACATGCAACTAAGTAGTGACATGACAAAAAACAAGATATCACGAGAATAGCAAATGCTGTGTCATAAATAAAGTTGCCTGATCAATTAAACACACATACATGTACATTTTTACTAAACATATACTGTTACTGTGTATAAATATAAATATGTGGTGATCAGATCCGTTTTGCAAGTGTTCAGTCCATAAAATAAGATTTATATACTGTAAACTACGAGAAACAAATATTCATGAGTCAATAAAAATTTTTAATTTCTCTAGAAGTGAAAATTTCTCTGAGGGTCCATAACGCGTAGTGTACGTGACTGTTTGTGAAATGTTCTCTTCACAAATGCCATAGATTTCGGAAATCCCCAAAATTTGTGAAAATAATGAAAATTGTATCACGTTTGATTTAGAATTTATATTGTATCATTCAGTAAATGCCGATAGAAGATACATCTACTTTAATCAATTCTTCAGACTGACTGACTGACTGACTGACTGACTGACTGACTAAATGAATGAATGAATGAATACCTGCCTGTCTATGCATACATGCAATGTACTCTGTATGGCTAGATGCAATTTAAATTAATTCAATTTCCAAATCCGAGGTTGATATATTACCTGTACCTTTATTAGTCCCCATTTGGGAAAAAAATTCAGGAATGAAGGCTATTAAGGGGTGGTGGTCATCGTGCCGCGTCCTGTTCGATATGGGACTCATAGCGACATATACAATGCATGTAAAATACATTGTTTACATGAAATTGGAACATGCGAGGCCTGGCAAGCACCACCATTTACATGAGTTCTGTCCTAGTTTCTATCCATTCTTTTGTCACTCCATCTTGCTTGAAAAACAAATATAAGTGCAACCTAAAGGTAAATGATTTCATGAATAGGTCATAGTGGCCAACTGGTGGCCATTTTTGACTCCTGTGTGTGAAGCTTGTACGAATAAATCACAAGAACCAATTATCAGATTTCAATAAAACTTAGTACATAGATGCTCGGGGATAATGCTCGTACCTGATTACCTCAACACATGGGAGTTCTTTCTAAACTTTCTTTGATTTGATTTTAAAAATACACTAAAATCAGCTATTTCAAGTATATCTTGGGTATGTGTTTTACCGATCTACTTCAAACTTTGTGGAAAGATTTACTAATTGTGGGTATTTGATGCATGCTGCTTTAATTTTTAAATTTGTCTCAAGATGGATGACTGGCGGCCATTTTATCTTTGAAAAAATTCAGACATACATCTCATTCATGCTTTGAGCAATTCACCTCAAACTTCATACATTGTACCTGGATTGTACATCAATTCACACATGCCAAAATACAATAATTACATCATTTGATCAAAGGTGGCAAACTGCTGACTATTTTGTTGTACAAAACACCCTAAAATCAGTTCAAAGACCTAATCTTTGGCAATGTTATTTTTCTTCAAATTTGGTGGAAGCAGTATCCATTACTTGAGACATCATTAGTTTTTTGCATAAACACAATTCTAACTATCCATAGGACTAGGAGCCAAATTATTCATAAATCTTTTTTTTTGTTTGAGGTTGAGCACAAAAATAAAGTGTGTTTATGAATAGAAAATGTTATACTAATGTGTGCTATGCTGTTGACATTTGTTTTCTTGCTATAAATGTGATACTTTAAAATACATTATTTTTGTTTGGAATTAATTTTCGCTATTTTTCGCTGAAGGAATGATTAATATATCTTTTTTCCTATATTTTATATTCAACTTTCGAAAAATCATTGAAATGAAATTCCATACGAAACAACCAAAAAGTGTTTCAGCAAAAATTGATTCCAGCTAAAATCTTTTCTAGTGTACATGTCTTTGCTAAAATAAAGTATTTTACTGCATCATTCATTGTCACATGCATAACACATGTATCTCTATAGTGAGAAATACCATGTATTTTATGTCACCCACCAAAACTACTTTTAATAGTCACTTTATAAGAAGCTTTACAGTAAATACATAATGGGAAACATGCTTTGCAATATGATTAAATTACTAGTATTTGTTTATTTATTTATTTATTTGTTTGTTTCATTCATCTACCTATCTATTTATTGTATACAGCTTGAAACCTAAACTCCTAGATTTTATCTCAGTCACTTCATAGTAAATGATTTCAAATTACCGGTAGTAACAACTTGTTTTTGAAATGCATAAATTAAATTTTGGTTGACTCAATTGACTTAGCATCTGACCCGCTAGAACCTTGTTTTACAAGGACATTTTGATACCACTGTCTAGACAATATTATCATGTCTTGTACATTTCAGATTCAAAGCACATACTTGTACATTTTTTAGGGCACTATAAATTTGATAGTTCAGTTTGAGCTGTTCTACATATGACACTGAAGGTAAAAACTCACACTGACCTGTGAAAATCCATACTCACTTGCTTGACTCTAGGGGCTTATACTGTATGTAGTCTCTCTAGCCTTTGTACCAATTTTGTCAAGATATTGCAATTTTTTTTCATGACTCAAAATTATTTCTGCTGCTTCATTTTGCCTGATCAAATGAATAAGGTCAAATACAAGTACATTTATTTCTACACTAGGTGAGAGATAAAAAAAAAAGAGTCTACAGTAGTTATAAATATGTGTCTTTATATTTCTATGAATGAATGTTGTAGTACTATTGTCACCTGACCAAGATTTTTTTTTTCTATTTGTTCTCATATTTTGAAATGAATACAGTATTTGCTCTATTACGGTAGTCTTATTTATATTACAGAGGTATTTCTATGGTCAAAATAAGTAATATTTGAATGATCAAGTATACAATATGTGTAAATGGGATTTTTGGTTTTTATCTGCTTCTATTGGAGATGTGTTTCTAATACAGCAAATACAGTACTGTATTTGTTTATTACCGGTACCATGACAATGCAAGGAAAACCTGATGCACACACTGCTTTACTCCATAGCTGTCAGTCTGTCAGTAGAAGGGTACATTTGCAGAAACACTAAATACTATTCAGTGTATTGTCATGCATATCTATACAGCCATTCCTACTAACTCCCTCTCACTAACCTTTTTGTGTTCAACCCCCAGCTACAATGTACGATTTGAACTTGGGTCTATCATGAGTTCATCGCAATAACCACTTTCTTAGGTATTAAAATAGTTTTTTTTTTGTGTTTTTGCAGATGTCCAACTCTCGCAGAAGTATCACTTGCTATTCCCATATATGAGGGTATTGTTACTATATTTGTTCTAGCTAACTTTTTTCTTGCCACTTTCATGGATCCAGGTGTCTACCCAAAATGTAAGTATCTTTATGTAAAGTTAATTTGTTTACTTGATGTTTTTACAAACATGTACCATGGCATTGAGTATTCTATAATTACTGTGTTTCAATGCTTGTGAAATGCCAAGCATGTGATTCACAGACAAAAATAAATAATATTAAAATGAAAACAACCAAAAACTTCTAAAATAGACGACTGAACAAAAACAAACCACCAAACTTGAGTGAAATTTGACGAGCTGGCATTTAGAATCCAAGTAAGTAATCCATGATGCAAAATGACTGACCGAGTTAGAATCTGAAATGAATGTGTGCATTTGTTCTTTGAATAAGAACGCAATTTCTGTAATGAGGTGGTCTTTATATGGAATTTAATTGATTAATTTGTGAATGCAAATTGAACTGTAATTTCTCAGTTTAAGGAGCAATTTGTCAACACCTCGTTGACTGAATTGAAAATGTCAGTGTGTAAAACACTAAACATCCAACAATCTACCATGATTTTGACCTTTTGACATAGATTCATTTGTCGAAAGCATCGCTAAAAGGGTAGTCACTGGTCACATTAGACAAGTGGTCTTCATAAAAACCTTCACAAAACAAAATTACAAATATAACTAAAACTAATAAAATACATAACAGTTAGAAAGAGAGAAAAAAAGATAATGTATAAAAATCACGTATAATAAAAAAAGAAAATAGACTAAGTGTTTCTTTGTTATGTTGGACCAACATACAGTGGCCATAACATCTTCACATGCTATTTACATAATTGTAAATTTGTATTGTGCTAAAAATGTTTAATACTATTTGAAGTTATTCACAAGTACAGTTCAATTCAGGCCTAACATATAACTTGTTGTTGACTATCAACTAGATTTGCCTTCTCAATAAAAACTTGTAATTTTTAAAGTTGTTATCAATAATTCCAACTTATTCTTTGTGGTATTTGCTTGTATGTTATTAATACATGTATGAGACATATTCATGCAGATTAGATACGTGACAGTTTTGAAAGCAAGGTAAGCAAGCTTTCAGCCAGCTTAAAGAGAGATAAATGTTATGTTACGCTTGCATCGTACTGTACTTCACAGCTATACTTGTATGTTGCTGTTTATGTGGACTGGCCAAATTTATACAACATTTGTCTTCAGCATAATTAAAGGGGTTTACAGTTGTGATTGATTAAAAGGTTATGTAGGAGGTCTACATTCATTCAGTATACATGTAAACGTTCATTTATAATCGTATTCTGTAATTTCCATCTCAGCTTGTGGTATTAGTTTCTATGATATTCCAAAGTGGGTTGCATAGTAATAGATGGTTGCTTAGTTCCCTGTGGTGTTCACCTCATTCAACCTAAGTGATGATACCTGTCTCTCATCTTTTCATGCCCTTTAGCTGCTGGTGATGAAGATAAAGATGACGATTTCAAAGCGCCTTTGTATAAAACTGTGGAAATCCAGGGTATTCAAGTGCGAATGAAATGGTGCACAACTTGTAATTTTTATAGACCGCCTAGGTGTTCTCATTGTAGTGTCTGTAATAACTGTATAGAGGTGAGACAATCTTTTTCTTTAAAATTGGTACAAAAGAAAATAAGATATTAGGTTAACCTTGAAAATACCGCGGAATATGCTCAAAAGCAATATGTATCGATGAACTTGTAGTGGAGGTCGATGTGACCCCATACTGCCTGAGTGCATACTTTGCTATATCCTCATGATAATGTTAGTGAACTAACCTACACTGGATGTGATTGTTTTTTGTAACCCTGATTTTTGTATGATTTATAACCACCTTATGTTGATAGCTATGAGACGCATATATTCAGCAATGATTTGTAAAAAAACAAACCCCACACCTTTACTTTCCTTTATTCTAACATTTGGAGAATGAAATTACCACAGAAAAGGATAAACTTGAGAAACCCTGTCAGAAATGAATTGGATTGCTAGAATTTATCAATGAATAGAATATAAAAATATAAAAATTGAATATAAAAACAAACAAAGGGAAGTGTTCAAATATAATGTCAATAACTTTGAACTCATTGATGTTGGTGCCATTTTTTACCCCATATAAGGAAATTTAAATGTTTGAAGGAGTGCTGATACAACTTTTCTCGGAATATCAAGTTGTATTGATGTTGGATATATAATAATGTTTCATCTAAACAATGCCTGTCAGAATGCATGTACTTACATACATACTTCTATCATTTTTTTTTGTATTTACAGAGATTTGATCATCATTGTCCATGGGTTAACAACTGTGTTGGCAAGAGGAATTATCGATATTTCTTCCAGTTTTTACTCTCATTAACTGTACATATGTTCTCAGTATTTGCTTTTAGCCTTATGTATGTTTTACAACATGATGAAGAACTAGAAAGTGTGAATTGTATAATGTCGTATCCTTTGATAGTAGAAAAGTTTTCCAAATAGAATAGTCACCAAACTTACTTTAATATATCTTACCACCATATCCTACTTAGGCTTATCAGATACCTTGTATATCAGAATACAATTTTGTTTTTTATTTCAGTGCCCTTTCAGCTATCGGGTTCAGAAAATATGGTAGCTAACATTTGCTTTTCGTATGAAATTTCACTTTTTAAGCAAAAAAAAATTCCTAGTTATGATATTAATCAAATAAGAAATGTGCTGGTCACCTTTCAAACTAACTCATTCTCAAAGTCCCTTCCCTTTAAAACACCCAAGCCAATATTTTCACCATTCATAAATTAAGCTCTCAATATTTTTTGTGAATTTTTGGGGAAATTTTGATCAAGACCTGTATCTAACTGGAAATTATATACATTTGGTTCAAAAGTTGCAATAGCTGTGATTTTGAACATTTTGTTTCAATATACCCACATAAAGATAACCAAATCTTACCAATCTATTGTTTTTTTGACGCAATTGTATGCGATGTTGACACTAAGGGTAGTCACCAAAATCTTGTCGCACGTCGCACACTATTATTAGAAATGAGACATAAAATCACAAATGATAGGTTGTCAGGTTGAGGCTCAGCCTCTCAAGATGACAAATTAATTGACATTCGTCCACGGTTCCAAATAAGTTGTCACCTTGTACCGTAATCCTTGTGGTTCGCTTAACAAAACTGGATTTCAATAGATGGCACCCTCTGGTCATTTTGGACGCTACAATGTACTTGCAAGTGATGTACACCGTTGGTATATAGCATATATTCTATGCTTTAGTGTCCACATTTCGGCGATGGTCGTTACAAATTGACAGTTTTTGACAGCTATCGTCGCTTTTAACAACATTTAAAAAAAAATATGTTATTAATATGAGTCAAATGTGTAAAATATCGCATCCACACCTGGTAGATAAAATGATAGTATGTATCAGATCAGGATTGTGGATTATAATGTGGTTAATGCATATTAAACGCAAATTGGGGATTATTCCTTAATATATTTGTTTATCAGTATTATTATAATGTGTATTATAGCATTGACTATAATCCCCGTAGTTGGATTGACGGCATTTCATCTTGTACTTGTATCTAGGGGTAGATCAACTAATGAACAAGTATGTCGTTTAGATAATAGACTGTATTCATGACCCCAAATAGTTGCACATTCTAGTACTTTCTGAGGGTACATTTCACTATCAATTAGATTATTTCTCCCCCAAAAAAGCAAGCAGTTATCATTGAAATTAAAAAAAAAGTTCAACATTGCAAAAAATTGGGCTATAATTTTACTGTCCAATATTGAAACGCCACATTCTGATTGGTCAATCAGTACCACATGCAGCCCTGTTATCAGACGATAACAATGGCAATGCCGGAGGTCAATGCACTAACATACGAACACGACGATAATGCACGACTTGTTTACTCAACAATGTTTTGATCAATGAATACAAATTGATTCTTTCATGATAAAAACTGCTGGTTATCCTGGCATTTTTTTGCATGACGTTCATCCGAGAACATTATATGCGTAACTGAATACAAGCTACTATGGCACACTTACACACTGTCGATTTCCTCTTTCTCAAACAACCACAGTTTTGTGGAATTATGGCTTGATAACTTGGCTCAGAGGGGCATGTTTGCTTTCAATGGGCTTGAATGTGTCTCACCATTAATTTGCACCCTGAATATTTCCCTTCAGAAAGTACCAGGATGTGTGACCTCTAGGGGTCATACATATGTTATGTTTTATGCATCCTAATCAGTACCGGTATATAAAGATAATATTTTTAACCCCTGAGCTTGTTATTTTTGCATCAAATGACTTTGATGCTAAAAATTTAGAATTGCATTTTCTAGCAATATTGGTGAAATCTGCATCCCTAAATGTCTATCTTCTGTGATAATAACACTCTATGGCCATGTAAATTGATGACATGATGTATGTTATAGGCATTGTTTTAGTGGAAAGGAGTTGCAAGATTAAAATACAGTAAATTTCATGAAGGCATAAATGGTTTTTTTGTTTGGAATTATATAAAATGTTGTGCTTTATTCAAATCTAGTTGTACTTTCATAGCCTATAGAAGCCATTTGGTAATGCTCATTACCCACAAGTCTTTGCAGGTTTTATTCAATCATTTCAATTTCAAACTTTACTTTGAAGGATAACTTTTAAAAATGAAAATAAAAATACTGTCAGTCTGGTATTGTCATGTTTTGACAATTATGACTAAGCTAAGGAGTACTGGAAACTTAGCCCTCAATGTTTATGGTATTTTTGCAGGTTACGGGTAAATTTCGTAGTGGTCACAATCCATTTACCAAAGGGTGCTATAATAATTTCCGTGCCACGTTATGTGGTCCACAACATCCTAGGTAAGACTTATTTTTTTAATTCTCTTTGTTAGTTTGGAACTAATACGACATTGTAATTTGAATATTTTTTGCAGATTGACAAATTATAACAAAGTAAGATTTTATCCAAAGACTAAATAATCAGATTAGTAAAGTCTAACTCAAGAAATATTAAAAATAAGTGAGGCCAGACGACCAGATTTCTGCAAAAATTGTACTGATTGTATGTACTAGTTTTGTGATTTGGAGAAATTTTACCATTATTTCCTATTTGGCAAGGATATGTTTCAATAACATTTTTCTCACTGATAAATGGTGAAGATATGATATACCTCCTTTGAGGGTTCCCTGAATTAGGATTGGTCATATGATTCAGTTCTTCTACACTGGCTGATTAGCTTTAACAGCAATTTTAGCAATGTCTCTGTGCCAAGACTGAAAAGCTGATCAGTGGAATTTCATCTAAATTCATTTTCATTATGATATATGGAAAGTACAATTGTCCTATGCCTATTGAAAGTACTGCATTAATTATAGACAAATTACAGTATGTCACTGAAATGATTACTAAAATGTATGCAAATATTCACTTTGATTGAGTGGTATTCCTTCTTAAAGTAGTTTGCAGTCACTAAAAAATACTCAAAAATCCTCAAAAACTAGCAAAATAGGGGTTGGCTTACTGTAATGTATATGGTCTCCAAAGTTTTCCACAAAATTATTCATAAAACTGATAAAAAATGCATTTTTACTTTTAATTCATTTTAAACATTTTGTTCGGTGACCTACAGTTATATGCTAAAAATTGGGATAATTTTGAATACTAGTTATCCATTGAATAATGTGTTTACATGGAATCCTATAGAAAAGGTTCTGTGGCCTCTTTTTTAGATTATTTTAAATATATTTTACTGAAAGCACATCTTTTTTTCTCTGTAAAATTCAAATATGAATGACGTGTATGTATGTGAATCATCACCAGACATTTTTGAATGATTTACTGTGTTCAATTTGTTTCATGTTTTAATGATACCGAACTACCTTAAATTAGGTTGCTTCACCACATTTATAGTATTTAGTTGGTTCTGCTGCACCACGACGAAGATACCCAGTATTCAGTTGACTGTTTATATTTGTTTATTAGCTATATTAAGTATAATAGTAAGAAAAAGCACAAGACTATGACAATACAAGTTGAGTATATGCCAACACAGATATTTGAGAGTCAAGTACAGATCAGAGTTGAAGGAAATGGATTACCACCGAAACCAAGGAATCATATGTATAAGGTAAAGAGTGTACAAAAACAGAATCTTAAGTACAGTTACCATATTTGCATATGTGTATGTCTAAACTTAGTCATCCAATAAATGCAGTTTTTGTTTTATGCACGCATCTATTGGGGATGCCCTTCTAATAGCGTAAATGTGGTGCAGGGACATAGTGTCTTTACTGATACTTGTTATATAAAATGTTTTTGCAAAACTCATCTGTGTCAATTTTTTACATTTTTGTCTTCTTCTTGAAAACTTCAATTCTTATTGCTTTGATACTCGCTCTTAGATTTGTTCATTTCGTGATGATATCTTCAATTCTCTAATTTTAATGAATATGTACCAAAATCATTTTTGACTTTTTCTAAATAACCGCAAGTCTGATTGCTTTTATGTTATACATATAGGGCCCCTAGGTAAACGTCTCTCAGATTTAATTATTTCGCGTTAATTTTCTAATTTTGATGAATATTTTTGGTAAAAATTCTAATTGCTTTGATACTATACATATAGGTACCTCAGGTAGACCTCTCTCAGATTTGTTCATTTTCTAATGATATCTTCAGTTCTTTAATTGAAATGGGTGTTGCTAACAGTTGAGAGGCTCAGCTGAGAGGCTGCTTGTTTTTTAAAGGCCAAAAAAAAAAAAGATTTTGCTTCTCGTCCTAAGGTAAATTAAAAAATAATTTGGTCATGTTGCTTTAATTGTTTTTTTATTAAAATTATTCAATACACAACAATATGTTTTTAACTTCAAAGTTTAATATTTATTAAATACATGCATTAAAGTTGGTTTGGATAAACGTATACATGTACCTTTGAAAAAGAAAAGAAAAGAAAACATTTCTCAATACTATCATATGCAACACGCTTCACCAGTTTGCAAAATTGCCAAAAATAATGGGTAAGATACAGTTTTTGAATTGACGTAAACAATAATGAGAAGCAAAAACCTTTTTTTTTTGGCCTAATGTTTTTGAGACTGTAAATTTTTTTAAGACAAGAAAGAGCTCCCCCAAACCACAATATACTACTCTGTGATTTGCTTGGCTGACTGATTACTGCATGCAGAGTGACTACTTACCACTACCCCAACCCTTATTAAAAGTAAACCTCCGTGAGAGCACGTATTCTATCATTGTCACATATTTTCCAACCTGGCCATATAAACTTGGCCACTTTTTAAGTGGTGTGATAAGTGCACCTTCACTTTGAGATCCAGAACTGAAACTGACTATCTGTATACCTTATATATAAAAAGCACACTTTCATCGCTTCTGTGAAAGTTAAATATTGCACCTATCCTTGTATATTAGACACTAATATTATCAGAGTTAACATTTTCGCAACTTGGTTTAATAATGGAATACCTAAAAAAATATACTACTCAAATGTTGGTGTATCCTAACTCTGTTGCATGGCTGTAACTTGCATGTTAATATAACTACATTGTGTATCTACTACTTCTTCTTACTCAACTCTTTACAGCCTGAAACCAACCACTCCCACCCTTCTGTCAGTCACTCTGGTAGTGATGAGGAAAGCCAGGGACAGGATTGTGAGCCATCACCTCCACCTAAACCCAGAGGCTCTCATGAAGATTTTATTAGGGAGATGGCACGATCCAAGTCTGATAGTATACAGTTAACTATGTCAGTCAATCGACCTAGGTATAATGTGCATCCTCCATACTCCAGTGCCTCTGATATCTTGCAGAGTCAAAGCTCTCATCGAGAACGCCAACACAAAGTAGCACGAGATAATTCATCAGTATTTAGCCGAAGTATTGATTCTTTGGATAATAAACCGAACACTGTGATAGTCAGTAGTAAAAAACATTCCACAACATCATCAGAGCAGATGAGCTCTCCAAGGTCTGGGTACTTATCTCCCACTTCCCCCATGTCTGATCCGGAGTTCCCCCGGCAACCATCACAGAACAGTGTTGCCTCAACTGGGTCACGGACTTCTGGTAGTGATCATCGACGAATGAGGCGACCGTTATCTTTTACAACTGCTTTACAAATGAGTGAAGAGGCAGCGCAGCTCAGTAAAGAGAAGAAAATAAAAAACAGTAATGTTGGACGGGGTGGTTCTGCTGGTGGGCGATATGGTGCAGGTAATAGTTATCGACACACAGTGACACCAACACGGCAAATGTCGGCTACGTCAATTGAAAATGACAGTCGCTATGATACACATTATGAAATATCTGTGTAATATGGCATCACTATTTACAGTACTTGCACATGCATGACAGGTTTTTCTGTCAAGTTGTGATTTTTTGTCATTGTTGAATTGAAGGCCTTGGCTGTGAATATGTAAATAGTATATATATTATGTATGTTGTCAGTAATGTATTTTTAGCCTTGCAAATGAATCTTGAATTTTTATTTTATGAAATCATCACATTGTACATGTGAAGCGATGAAGAAAAATTTGAAGTGTACAGATTTAGCTTCTTTTATATGTAGAGCAACCAGTTTGGGCTTCAGTTTAGGGAAAACATTCCCATACACATTAGACGAATTTGAATTTCAAACTGCAAAATCATTGATCATTGGTTAAGTCTTGTGGTATATTAGAGTTATATGTGTTATAGGTCGATACTAGATTCCAAGTGGTGGATTATAGACGAGTTCTACAGTTGCAGTGGTACTGGGTTTGCAGGATTACCAGTTGTTGTCATTTTTTTTTATTTATATTATTGTTATTTTTTGGTGTTTTACATCATCGAAACTGCTCCATAACAATTAAGCTCTTATACAAAGTCCTACTTCGCAAAGCCAGTGCTCCAGTCAAATTACTGGTACCATTTTGATGAAAATAAATATTCCTCCGAATAAATAGTGTCTAACAATAAATATGACCCTGTATTTTGACAGTCTGCTGTCTATATTTATGTGAAGGAGTGTAATTGTCACAACCAAATTGTTACGTCACCACTGATGTCTATGCACTGTTTATTAGAAAAAAGTGAGTGCTCAGAGATTGAAGCGAGGAGTAAAAATGCTCCTTGAAGTTCACACCAGCATTTCAGTGCTTCCTCAATTCCAGCAACTCAATGCTCCCTGGAGTCCAGTTCAGTAACTCAATGCTCCCTGGAGTCCAGTTCAGTAACTCAATGCTCCCTGGAGTCCAGTCCATCAACCCAATGCTCCCTGGAGTCCAGTTCATCAACCCAATGCTCCCTTGAGTCCAGTCCATCAACCCAATGCTCCCTGAAGTAGACTCATTTAACCCAATGCTCCCTGGAGTAGACTCATTCAACCCATTGCTTCTTGCAGTCTATCAACACATTGTTCCTTGCAGTCCAGTACATCAAGCCATTGCTCCTTGCAGTCCACTACATTAAGCCATTTCCCCCTGCAGTCCACTTCATTCAGCTGTTGCTCATTGCAGTCCACCTTTCAACCCAATGCTCCTTTCAGTCCACCCTATCAACCCAGTGTACTTTGCAGTCCACTCCATCGAGTCGTAATTGCTTCTTGCAGTTCACTCCATCGAGCCATTGCTCCCTGCAGTTGCACCAATGTGTATATATTTTTGTGGTTCACAACAAAATGTACAAATCAAGGAGAAAATTCCATTATATATTGTGACCCAGCATTTGTAAATGTTCATGTGAATCAGTGTTGTTTATTTAGTAAAGGGTGTAATCATGATGTAACTTGATGTAACCGTATTCCAACTTTTTGGTTACAGTTTATGCAAAGTCTTTGTTTTCTATCTCTGATATTGAAAGTTAGGGTGTTTACATACTCCTAGTGTAGTTTTGATCCATGGTTACTACTGCCCTGTTTACAAGTCGTACATTTTCAGAATACATTTATTTTAAAATTGTTTTGAAACATACCTGCCATTGTTTTTATATTTACTGCTATTTCCTTTGTTTTCAATGTTTCATTATTACCCTACATCATCCAAAACTGTTTTTGTTTATGTACATTAATCTTCAACATTTGGATTGCACAGTAAATCCAGCGAATTGAATGTTGAACTCTTGTTTGGCTTTAATGGCCAATGAAATGAATCACACTCATTGACCTCTGCAAATTGCATGTAAATCACTTTTGTTTGAATTTGGAATT